GGGGGGGGGGGGAGGGGGGGGGGGGGGGGGGGGGGGGGGGGGGGGTCAGGGGAGGTGGAAGGAAACCTGTTATATTTATTTTGTAGGATATATTTTTTAACTTCTATTTTATTGCCTTTTTTTAAAATAGGAATTTCACGGCTTTGCCCAAGCTAGTCTCAAAAGCCAGATTTTGAGCAGACCTCACAAAGTGGCTAGACGTACAGGTGCATGTCATGTATACTTATTTTTGATAAACATATAATAATTTTACACATTTATTGAATACGATGTAGTGTTTCAGCACTATGTATACATTTTGTTCTCTTCAAGACGATATGTCCATTATCTTAAACACTTACTGTTTATGATGAGAATATACAAAACATTCTCTTCTAGCTATTTTGAGGAACAAAATGCATCATTATTAGTCATGGTCACAGGACCGTGTCATGGAGACTTAGGATTTTCTCCTCTTATCTGACAATAACTTAGCACCTGCAAACCAACCCTTTCCCACCCTCCCTCCTACCTACTGTTCCCAGAATGTGGGGACCGTTATTCTACTCTCAAATTCAATGTTTTTAACTCCCATGTGTGAGTGGGATCATGCCATGTTTGTTTTTCTGTGTCTCCATAATGTCCTCCATGCGTTACAAATGAAAGGATTTCTTGGGTCCTGTGTGTGTTTTTCACATTTTCACTTTTATCTTGGGGTGGGGGTGGGGTTAAGACAGAGCAGACAGCAGGTGCGGGCAGAAGTCACAAGAGTGCGTCAGATCTCCTGGAATATAGTTACAGGTGATTGTGACATGATCCAGTGTGGGAGCTGGGAGATGAACACGGGTCTTCTGCAGAAACAGCACTGAATCGCTGTGTGTATGTGTGTGGCCTGCTTTACCCATCAGTTAAAGGACATTTAGGTTGTTCTCAGTGTGAGCAGTGCTGCAGTGAATGTGAGAGCACAGATGTACTGATTTCACCTCCTTTGAGTGAAGAGACACCACGACCAAGGCAAATGATATCAAAGAAAGTATTTCATTGAGGTCTTGTTCAGAGTTTCAGAGGGTTAGTCCATTCTCATCAGGGCAGGGAATGCACCAACATGTTGCCAGGCACAGTGATGGAGAAGTGGCTGAAATTGTTGTGGATTACATCCTTACTCACAGGCAGCAAAGAGAAAGAGATCCTGGGCCTGGTATGGGCTTTTTGAAACTTCAAAACCCACCCCAGCGACACATTTTCTTCACCAAGCCCACACCTACTTCAACAAGGCCACACTTTCAAACAGATATACTCCCTGGTGACTAACCATTCAAATACAGGAACCTATGGAGCCATTTTTTTTTTATTCAAACCACAGCAAGAGTGGTATTGCTGGGTCACTGGTGGCTCTGGGTTTAATTGGGGACTGCCAGCATTCTGTTTTCCATAATAACTGAACAAATTTATAGTCTCCTCAATAGTCACGTAGTATTTTTAAAAAGAAACTTTTTAGACAGCATCTCTCTTTTTAGTATAATGCATATCAAATTCTGCTGAATCAGAGTTCTATAAATGTACCCAGGGGGGACATATTGGCACAGAGGGTTTCTGAAGTCATCATAATGCTAAATACAAACAAGCTCTGATTCTGCATATTCTAAAGCACATTCATGATCATCCTCTTTCCTTGGGCAAGAATCCTCTGTGGATCCCATGTGCCTGAAACATGCAAATCCCTGTGGTCACTGAGGTGGCAATGGGAAAGTGTTTGTTTGTTTGTTTGTTTGTTTGTTTGTTTGTTTGTTTTTGAAGTCCAAACATCTTAGTGTGGCATTCAGAAATGAGGTTAACATGCCTTCTCCACTTTGACTCTGGTCCTTTCCATTACAAGCTTCTGTTCCTTGCTGCCTGGATCTTCCCTGCTCTCTTTTCTTCCTTCCACGCCTCTCCCCATGCTGCTGTCTCTGGTAAAAATGTCTGTCCCAGTCTTAAACATGCAGGAGAGGGTAGTTTTAATATTTTATAACATTTTATTTATATGTGTATCTACTGGATATTTGTGGGCGTGTATACCGGGGCTGACAGCCTATCAGAGTCATTGCTCCCCTCCTACCCTGTGGATCCAGGGACACAATCGTGGGCCGTCAGGGTTTACTCAAGGCTTACATCAAGGCTTACTCAATAAGCCTTCTCTGTGTCCCTCATTTTAAACCCTCAGTTTAAAACGACTCCTGCGGGGCTGACATGGCTCCAAATCCTTCTTCATATTCAAACTCATAGTGGACAAGTTGGGTTCCTTTATAGAACTGACCGTGGAAATTACTTTCTGCGACTTCAGTAAAGAGTGGTTGTACACATGGCTGCCTACCCTTGGCGTGTGTACATAATGGACACAGCAATATGATGAAAAAGAAAACTCTTTCAATGCAGAACGGACAGCCATCACAGAACAGACAGCTGCCTGCAGTTCTGCCACCAGGACTTGGGGACTCTGGCCATTTGCTGCTTAGCTGTGGGACTGGTGTCAGTTCTGTAGGAGCAAGGGTAGGCTGACGGAGCCAGGGTGCTCCCAGAGTGAAGCATCCTGCGGTGTTCTAGATTTATAATCCTCCTCCTCGTGTGAACAAGGCCTCCAGATGACTTTGCTGCGCTCTAAAGTCTGTGCATAATTATAGTTGGAGCTAAATATATTATCGCCCTGGTCTAGATTCATTTATCAAAGACAGGAAGTGTGTTTCTCGCTTTCCTCCAGCTTAACCACTACAGTACAACCCACTCCAAAAACGGAGCCATGGCAATGCATTTGCTCACTCACCTTTAACTGCTGCTAGTCACACTGTTTGAACATCCATGCATTTGTCAAAACCTGTGGTCTCTTGCAGCTGATCAGGCGGATCCCTGCAGATTCGTAGACTGCGGCAAATTTGCCCAGTGTGTGAAGAATGAGTGGACAGAGGAGGCGGAGTGTCTCTGCAGACAGGGTCATGGGAGGCACAGGGCCCTGGACTACCAGGGCCTGAACCTCTGTCCCCCCGGGAAGACATGTGAGGCTGGAGGAGGACAGGCAGCTCCATGCAGGTAAGTCGAGTACGTCGGCTGCAGCCCTGAGAAGAATCCGTGCCTCATTCTCTGAGAATGCTACCGTGCGGATGAACTCGTGTCAAAAGTTCTGTTCTGGATATTTTAAGCCAAATTGTTTACGTGAACAAGGCAGGGGGCTATGTCGATGCAGGGTCCTGCTTGCCAAGAGCTTCTTCAATGTGCCCTCACCCATGAGTGCAAATACACTGCAATGCACCCAGGTGATATTCGGGGAGTCAGAATGATACATTTACAGTGTTCTGCATGTTGTTAGTAACCAAAAAGAAAAAAGTCACTTTTGTAGGTGAAGGAAATCATATGATGCTTAGAACTGGGATTCTCCAAGTTCAGCAGGCAGCGGAATCTCCCCGGAGCCTTGTGAAAACATACTCCTCTCCCCTTCCTCTGCCCTGCTTCTGACTCAGAGGTGGGGTCAGGGCTCCCGTACAGCCGGGGCTGCCATGCAAGGATCACAGCTGGGAGCCCCGTGCAAGGCTTCTGTTAGTAGCTGCACTTGTCCCGCAGAGAAGCAAGAAAGACCTGAGTCGCTTTACTGCCTTCGGCAAGCGTGGGTGGGTGTGGAGGGGCGTGGCTGAAATGTGGGGCATTCTGTCCAGAAGCCCAACAGCATCAGTCCTCATAAGAAACCTAAAAAGCACAGCAAGCTTGGAAGCCAGCGCGCTGCTTCGGTATGGCCTCGGTGTCGGTGCTGTAGGCCAAGGCCAGGGTCACTCGCCACATCTCTTGTTCTCTCCTAATGTCCATATTTCTGTAGAATTATGTAAGAATTCTAACAAAACATGGAACCAGGCTGGCTTGCTTTATACTCGGCTCACTCTTATGCTCTCTCCCTTCCATGTGTGTGTGCTCGAGTGCGAACATGCGTGCATCTGTGTGCGTGTGTGTGTGTGTGTACGTGTGTGTAGGTATAAATGTGTCACTAAATGTGTGTGGGGACCAACCTTGGGTGTCATTCCTTACCTTCCTCCTTGCCTCCTTGCTTGAGACAGAGTCTTTTGTGCACTGCTCGGTATGCCAGGCTAGTTTGATACAAGCTTCCCCGGGTTTCATTTCACTTTCCATCTCGCCAGAGGCACTGGTATTAAACACTCACCCCCTGTCAGGCTTTTCAGGCATACTGGGGACCTGAACTCAGGTCCTCATAGCTTGCAAGACAGGAATTTTATCCAGTGAGCCATCTCCACAGTCCATCGGCTTGGCTTTTTTTTAACCCTGAACATTTCCTCCTGTTATGAAGTCTTTTCTACAGTGTCGTTTGTCATGATTACAGTAGTCCCTTCTTCATAAGTGTTATAAGGCGATTTCTACCCAAGTCAGAATGGAGGAGGGAAGCTCTTCAGTGGGCATGGAAAGGAACCGAGACTTGATCAGACATCACTGTGTCCTTAGGAGAGCAGGAAACACAAGGTGTCTCGTTCTCCTCAGACCCTAGGACACACAGGAAGGGTGTGCATTATAACCTCTGCTCTCAAGGGCTTCGGCATGGGCCGGTCATGGGCCACTTCTGAGAACATGGCCAGCCTTTCTCAGCCACAGCCTCCAGGCACACAACTAAACACCTGCTTGCTGTCAGTGTGTGAGATGGTTGGCAGGCGGTTCTGGTTCCCTCACTCCCCTCTTGCTCACTCAAGTGGCCACACTCCCCGGCGCCACACAAGGCCACTCCATCTGCAAGAAACTAGAGAGGCTTCTTTTCTTCTTTATAATTCTCACCCCATCCCATGAAAGCATCAACACTTTTAAAATAATTACCTGACCGTGACTCAGAAGCTATGCTCTGGGGTCAGATTGTGGTTAAAAGTATAGTCTAGTGATCAGGTTAGAAATGACCAAGTGACCTTGAAACGGCCAAGTAATCACGCATGTATTCCTTCTCTAAGATGCAGCCTCCTTATCGGATGATGAGCCCAGCCGTGAGGTTCCTGCGGCCATCACAAAGCGCTTTCCCGAGAACATGCCCCACAGGGTATCCACTGGAGAAGTGAAGCTGGTGGTGCTCCGATGGGCTGTCTCTATGTCCATTACAGCTAAGGCGCTAACACAGCTCCCTGTGGGTTTTGACATTCTGTTTCTAAAGTTCCTTTGGAAACGAGAAAGTGTAAGGTGATCAAGTACAGTGATGTGTGGTTTCTCGGTCAGATAGCAAACCGGCACAAAATGATACTTGCAACACCAAGATGGGTGCTCAACAGGGTAAAGGCAACCTCCGATCCTTCTACCCCGGGGAATTTCTAGTAGAAAGCAGCACAGGTCAACAAAGGAAGAACGAACTAGCTACTCGGGGCTGGAGTACAACCGCTCCCCATTTGCAAAAGCAGGGTTGCCTAAGCATGAAGAGAATACATTTTAATGACTTTTGAACCGGGTATGGTAGCCCAGCACTTCAGACACAGAGGCAGGAGGACTCCTGCAAGTTCAAGACTGGCCAGTTCCAGTTTCCAGACCCCTTCACGATAAAGCAAAACAGATTTCTATAGTGTCAAAGGGTCACCCCAATGAGACACAAATCCCAGAAAACATTAAATATTTCCCTGGCAGACGCAAGCAAGGAGGGGGAGTCCAAAATGAAACCTACACGTAAACAATAAGATTAAAGAAAAATATTGTCTGTCCTGTAGACAAACTAGTGTCCATAATAATCAGACCCAGAATGTCAATAAAAGACAAACACCCTAATGATAAAGTGAGCAATGGATACAGAGGTACTATTCACAGAAAAAAGCCAAAGACCAATGAATACAGAGCACGCTCAGTCTTGCTGTGGGCAGGGACGTCCAAGCAGTTAAGATCCTCCGTGTTTGGCTAGAAAGTTAATAACACCCAGTGTCGAGAACGTGGAGCCCTGAGCGGCACCACTTCTGATATGGTCACTGCTCGTGGACCTGTACACCAGAAATGTCTTTTTGTCAGCGTCCCTAGGAAATAAAAGCGAGCTGGGTACTCCACTTTCAAACAATTTTTAAAGTTGTACTTACTAACAAGTCTGGGCCAGGCGCTTCTAGGTTCTCAGCCTCTTACCGAAAGAGTTGAAAACGAGGTCTCACGTGGAATTACAGAAGCAGCCAGGTGATGGGACAGCATGGATCAGAGAGGGACACACTAGTAGGACTGACAGTGGGCGTGACTGAGAGTACTGGAGGACCGCCGGCTGGAGCCCGGAGCCTTCGTCACAGGGCCTCAGGGAAGGAAGAGCTGGCCACTAGGGGGCATAGTTTGCGTGGCTCTCTGTCTTGATCGATAGACCGAGTTACACAATTTACTTCTCCTGCTATGCATGCGCCCCCCCCCCCCATAATGCATCCGATTTTAACCATTTGCACACCTAATTGTGCACAGGCATAAGATTAGGAGAAATAAACGTTACTTGTGAGGGAAGCTGTATACCATAACATCCTCCAGATACTCTGCCCATTTTATGATGAAAAATAGAAAGTGAAGGCGTGTCTTATAAAAAGAAAGTACATAATCTAAAAAAAAGTCTGGAATTACATACAGCAGTCAGAATTAATCCTTCCTGGAAGAGCACTCTGAACAAGAGTTCTCAGAGCCGTCACAATCCAGGCCTTGGCTTGAACAGTAACTGCCCTCCTTGCATGAAGAATTCACCCTCCCATGCTCCCCTTGAGTTTCTGTCAACCAGTGCCCAAGAAATAAGCCATCTGCAGGGAGAAACTCCGGGGGCTGCACCCGCACGGTTGGACTGGGCATTTTCACTTGTCACAGTTCCAAATCCAAAATGGCAGGAGACTGTAGATGCCCTGACTGTGGAAGCAGAAGGTAATGACACTGCTTTTTCCTCACAGGCCACCAGATCACCTCACAAACCAAGCTCACAAACCGAGCGTGAAAAAATTACGTCATCAAAGTAAGGTAAAATCGGCTTTTCTTTTGCACGTTGGTTTTAAGTAGTTTGAATTTTGAAAACAACAACAACAACAACAAAAAAAAAATAGAACCAGTTTCATACCTGCTTTAAAAAAAAAAAAAACTTTTCATGGAGATACATAAATCACCTATTCTTTATCTGGTAGACTTTCAAAACTGCGTATGAGTGGAGGAAGAGTCCTGAGGCAGGGATAGAGGCTGAATACACACCAACTGAAATGTGTCAATGTAAAGATGTCACAGAAATAAACTAAATATTTTATAATAGTCCCAATCTTTTTTTTTTAAAGTATGAGTAATCAAATGTGTTTTGCAAGACTGAAAATTTTAGAGTAATAATATTCAAGGCACGGACTATATGTTAGAAGTTATTCATACAAGTTATTCTTTTTCTTTGTTTCTTGAACTCAGCCATCCAGCCCAGGCTGGTTGTGAGCTTCACATCCTGTGCCTTGGCCTCAGGAGTGCTATGATGGGAGAAACCAGTTGTCACACCTGCCTTAATTTTCTTTTTGTTTTCAAATAGCAATCATGCAAAGCAAACCATATGTAGAAGCAGCATTATTTGTGAAACAAGATCAACTTCGGAAAGTCTTCAAAGTTCAGGTTTCTTGTAAAACAAGTTATTTTACCAAGATTGTTTTATAAAAAAGAAAATAAGTGATCGATATGGTCAGGTTATATATATAATCCGAAGGTCTTTAAGTTTCTTTTAAATGATTTTGAGGGAAAAGGTTGGACAGTTTTATTCCCAAATTACCTATATTTCTTTTTAATTACAAGAAGTCTTAGATAGTAACAATCAGTCAACCATGGCTCACTCAAGAGACAATAAAACACATTCCTCAGGCCTGAGGTGGTGACAGCGGGCATGCAATCGAAGACGCCATAACGAGAAAACTAGAAGGAATCCTTTTACTCGGTTGCACACTGGGAAGGAGGTGTGCCATCTGAATTTCTGAAGCCAGGAAAACTTAAGAAACAGATCAAGTAGGGAGATAAGGGCCATGAAATGATGACAGGCTACAGGATCTGACGCTGATAGAATTTGATGTTATTTTGAAAGGTGAATTTGCTTTCCTAAGAAAAACTGTATTCAGCTGCCAACATTCTGAGCATAGGGTCAACCCTGACAGGCAACTTGTTTCATCCAGGAGGAAGCACACAGCAATTAAATCTTGACATACCAGAGAGAGTTAAGGGCCATTCGTCAAATGAAGGTTCCCAGTGAATAAAAGAAACTGACTTTTCACTTTAAAATAGAGACACTAACAGTAACAACAAACATCGGGGCTGATGCTCCAAGGTTAGGGCTTTGTGGCGGCTGAAGGACGCATGTTTTCTGGTGGAAGAATGCTCTAACAGAGTGGTGGTACCCACGATAAGTAAGTAGGAAGAAATGTGAAATTCATGCGCAGACTATTTGCCGTCTCTAGGACACATATTTAGGTTTGAAAAAAAAAAAAAGGGATGCAGCCCCAGTGTAAAGTTAAGAATAAATGGAAGCCATTCTAACCTTTCAAAGATTTCCTAAATGGCAAACCGACTCTCTCGCCCACCAAGGGAAGTTGGACCAGAAGTAACTGCTGATTTGACCTTGCATGGCTCTTATAATAAAACTCTGTCTTCCAGGTAGCCAAGAAACGAAACTCCGAACTATCAGCTATAGGATTTGAAGAATCTGACCATCAGGATTGGGAAGGAAATTAAAAACTGAAATCAAACACATTGTATTTTAAACTATGTTGAAAGGCAACACTACTTCTTAAAGAAAAGTGTATCCATTCTGCTAGCTTCTGAAAAATGGAGAGAGATATATTCAGTGGTCAGGGATAGCCTGGCATGTAGTTAACACTGAGAACCAACATGCTCCAACTACAGAATAGTTATGTATTTGATGACTGGTTAAGCATGAGCAAGGGAAAAACATTTATTTTACTTGAAACATTTGACTGTTTTGGGATGGTACTCATGTTGAAAAACAAACAAAAAAAAAACAAAAAAAAAAAAAACAACAGGATGGCTTCTTTCTGTCTTTATTACTTAAAGTGGATTTCCAACAAGCGCAACTTGCTTTGTGACTTATACAGTGTCGAGTTTCAGGCTGTTTTATGTTTTAAAGTATACATTTAAAAGATTATCATTTGGGCTAGAGATATAGCTAAGTGTCTAAGAGTGTGTACTGCTCTTCCAGAGAACCTGAGTTTACATCCCAACACCCGAATTGCATGGTACACACACACACACACACACACACACACACACACACATTTATAACTCCAGCCACAGAGAATGCGAACACCCTCCTCTAGTCTTTGTACTCATGTGCACTTAACCACAAACAGACACACCCACATCATTTAATTAATTAATTTTTAATTGGGTGTGGGAAGGCAGGCTGGAGAGATGACTCAATGGCTAAGAACAGATGATGTTCTCACAGAGGGTCCAGGTTCAGTTCCCAGCACCCCCAAGGCCATTCACAACTATTTATAATTCCAGCTCCTGGGAATCCAATACCCTCATCTAACTGATTGCTGCAGGCACCAGGCAGCCCTGTGCAGCACATACATGCGGAGAGGCAAAACACTCATACACACAAAATGTAAAAAAAATCTAAATTTTAAAACTATTTTTATTTTAAAGATGAGCACTTGTGTGAGGGTCGTGTATGATATAGTATGGAGCACTGTGATGATTACATGTCTGTTCTACACTACAGTCTCTCTCTCCCCCTTCTCCTCCCTCGTGTGTGTTTGTATTTGTGTGTGTGTGTGTGTGTGTGTGTTCTCTCCCTCCCTCCCACCCCCACCTCTCTCCATTCTGGTTTTGTATAAGCAAAACACAGTAGATTTGCTTACACAGTAGATTATTTTGTTGCTGATGATTTCTGAACTGCTCTACAAAAGAAAGGGAAACGAAGGCTCAGAAATGCACATCTTCCTGCTGCCGCCCAAAGGAAGGTTTGAAGGAAGGCAGCGCACCAGTGAGCTGAAGAGATGTGGCTGGACAATGGCATAGGGTGCCCACTTTGCACCGGATGAACGATGTCTTCACTAAGCCCTGTACGCATCTATATTAGCACCAGTGGAATACAGTTCAGCATTTTTTGTGCTGCTTGATTAAAAAAAAAATCATATCCCTGCATCTCTTTCAAATGTCTAATTGTCAAATATATTTGAGGCAAAATCTTGAGTTTAAAAACGTAAGTACTATATTCATAGATTTATAATAAAATATATCTGTATTTTCCTAGTCATCCCATGGATTTGAAAAGCAAATTAAGTAGGTCATTTTAATACTGCTAAGACAACAAAATAGTAAACACTGAGAGCCATCTTTAACAAGAAAGCTGCCAAACCAAAATAAAATATTTCCTCATAATGAAGACAGTATTTTGAAGGGAAACAAGATTTTTAAATTCCTTCCTGTTGGTCTCACAAGTGAGGAGTGCTCATGTCCATTCCTACTCCAGTCTTCCCACCAGTGAGGCCCTGTATCTGGCATAAGAGCGCCAAATTGGTAAATGGTAACAAGGGCACAGGGTGAAGAATCGAGCAAGGATAGACTGACCCAGTCCCATATCCCTGGGGCATCACAGATGGAAACGGAATTGCTGAAAGCATGAGAGGTCAGCCCCAAGCAAGTGAAATGCTTCCATAAGGAGAGAAAACTATCTTCCCCTTCTGATCCCAGACACTTGTTCACATTTTAGTCTTGTGCTAAGCAGTGCAGGACAGGGTTTTATAGAGAAGCTAGGTAGGGAAAACATTCTATATGAGGTGAAGAGAGGTCCCAATATAGGCTAAATGCTTCTTACTCTTTAGATCATCTATCTTCTGGCACCTAGAGAAAAGCGGTGAAGAAAGAGGTTAGCCTCCTTCCACTCTGATACCCACCAGGAACACGGAAGATTCGAACCCCTTAATAGAGCAGGATATACAGACTGGTATTCAAAACCTTAGGGAATCGTCTTCTTTGGGTCGGTGGGTGTTACAAACTTTCTCTTCTCACAGATTAGTCAGAGTTTGGGGTGAGACATCCAAGACATCCAAAAACAGATGTTTGCTCCCAGTCTCAAATGGGCTTAACAGCTCACATAGAGCCCTGCCTGTTCCCTGCATGGAGGTTGCATAAAAAAAAAAAAATTGGTAGAAATTTTCAGTCCCCTGGAGTGCTTGCCTCTCCATTTAGCCATTCAGCACAGGGCTCTCTCCCCAACAGGCCCCATCTAAAATCTACCATTTGAGTGACATTTCAAACCCTGAATTAAAAGCACACGATACACAAGGATGTTCTCCATATAAGGTATTTATTTGAATTTCCAGTACATCAGTATTCTAGGAAAGTATTAGATACACACTTTTTGTGAAATGAGAAAAAATTAACAATTACAAATACACAAGTTTCCAGAGGTGAAAAGCAGCCTCGTAAGAAGCCTGTTTGTAGTTTGAGATTGAGTTCCTATGTTGATAAAAATTAAAGATTAAAGACTGTGCAGTTTTTAGTGTGCATTAATTTCTTTTTCCTAACTATCTCCTGGGAAACTTCCAAGAACCAAAGTCACTTCATACACGGGTTAGTACACTGATTTGAATTTGAGCAAAACAGTTGAAAGAAGTGGCATTGACACAGGCAGGCGCTCCACCGACCCTGGCATGAGCTTGTGTCCACGCTACCTCGGCAGTTCTTCCCGGGGCACCTCCAGTGGGGCCACACCCACCATTCTTACATGCTAAGATCTACATGCCAGGCGACCCATGTACAAGTTCACTCGCCCTGATTTCTGCTCTTAGACTTGACAAGACGAATCTTAAGCCTCAGCAGGGGTTGCTGTCTGGGACGAGGAGTGTTTCCCAGCTGAGGTGCAGCCTTTGGGGGCTGCACAGTTTCCTTTCTCTTCCACTCCTATGTGCGCTTGTAGCTATCACCACTCCCACACCTCATCCTTATCCTCATCGTTAAATGTCCTCTGCCCTCTCCCCCGCCCCAACACACTGTTAGTGTATCTTCTGGGAGTAATTGAAACTCAATAGTTATTTACGGGTGTTAAGGACAAACAGGAAATACAGGAACAATCCTTTGTTAAGTCTCCAGGGATTTGCTGAGCAGACAAAACATCGCTTTCACTCTTTTTGCTCTTGCATCTTTTTCATGGTCTAGTGCCAAACTCTACGACCTCCCTGGCTTTCTACAACTTTTTCATATAAAGAAGTAAGACTATCATTAACTCAGTATTAACCGACTGATTAATTCAAGAACTAGTCTGCTGATCCAAGTATTTTAAAGCTATTTCAAGAAACCAAAGGTCTACACGTATGAATCCCCTGAGAACCATATTAATAACCTGTGAGTGAAACTATCTTCCAAAATATCCAACTGAAGGCCAGGGAGGTGCCTCCGTGGTAGAGCCTAGCCTGTGTGAAGCCCTGGGTTCAATCCCCAGCATGGAAAAAAAGCAATTAATGACAATGGCATGTAATAAATATCTATTATTATTAATAATTTTATTGTGCCTGTGGTTAAGACCTTTTACAGGCCAGAGTGAGACCCTGTCTAGCTAGAATGTCTTTAGGGTAGGCCGGTGCTCCGTTATTTTACTTCTTATACTCCTGTGCCCAGGTGGTCTCCCCGAAGGGAAGAGGCAGCATCTCTTGAACACACCAGGCTCCTAGAAACGCCCTGTTCTTGCTGAGAGCACACCTCCCTGCTAGCATGCATCTCAGATGTGCTGCTGGCATCGGACACTGCATCACAACTGAATTTAACATGCAAATACTTGCCATCATCGTTTTTTATATTCTATTAAAATGTTCACACACTGTGGAAGAAACTGGAGCTGGCAAGCATTAGTTCTTTGTGTAGAGTATACTGGTTTAAACTTACAATTTGAAATGGCTGATTAAAATAAGATTAATTGACTTGGAGGCTTCTAACTCTTGCACAGCCTTTGTGGAGCTAAACCCACAAAACGTGGCAGAGAAGCTGCATCCGGGTCTCACAGAACACCACATCTGCTGTGACCCCAAAAATGATGTCCTAAAGTTTCCCTGACAGGATCTGGATGCTATGACATATAGAAGGTTCAAAGCCTGCCTGAATTAGGGCAGTTCTCCTGCTTGGGAAACTTAACTCGGGAGATTATTTGAAACAGATATACTGTAGGACACCTGGACATAATTAAGAAGAAAATGGTTTGAGATAACTGAATTTTCAAAGCAAAAAGCCACAAAGACTTTCAACAATGCCTTGCTGTCATACTTTTCCTATAAATTCTTTAAAAAATTAAGTTCTGTCACTATAATAATTCCCAATTTTGATTAATTTTTCATCTAGTGCTTATTCACAGATCCAGAAGATACATAGAAGTGCTTCAGAAAACAGTGCTAAGCTGACAAGTCACGAAGAATCAGTTAGGCCACTAGATTGCTTTGTTTCAAACACTATATTAATTTTGACCAGGAAATAAAGCTTACTTGGTATCCTGCACAAATAAAGACATCAATCGAAGGCAAAAGGTGAACGAGAAAGAACAGGTTGTTTATTTCAGTAACTACACCTTCTGCCATCAATCACAGGACTAAATGACCCACCGGTGGGTGGGTCTAAGCAGTCAGACAGCCTCCAGGAGAATACCCCATTCACTTTTCCAATTATCAGGATATAGAGAGGTTTAATTTTTTTAACACGAAACAATCATTTCCACAGTGTCATAATAAAAAGTACCTCGGTACTGAAACATTTTCAAAGGAGCAATTCTGACAACAGTACCCGAAGCTTCTAGACATAAATCTCATCAGCTGGGAAATATTTTCCTAACTGAGGTCTCTTTCTAAGAAAGAAAGAAAAAAAAAAGACTGAAATTTCAAAGGTCAGGGCATTTAAAAGCAAGGGGAGTGTAAAGAATAATTTTACTTTCTACTTTTATTCTAAAATACAAACGAAGACTCCTTTGGGTGTCAACACAACTCCTTGATGTATTTTTGTCCTTATTAAGTTCCTAATATTAAAGTCATAAATATTAGCTCCAGCTGCTAACATCTGATCATAACTAAAGAGCACACACAGGGAGTGTTTTAAAGACTACCTACCGGCAGCATGAAACTAGCTAGGTCTAAAGACAAGGGTTCCTGAATTACAAAGTTTACAAAACAGCTCTACGATTACCACGTCTCAAAGGTCAAGACAGATGCCTGGAAGAGGGAAAGGAGAAAGAGAGATCTCTCTGAAGCAGTATACCAGCTTAAATCACATTAAATAACTTGGACAAGGTTCCAACCGAGAAACCACAGGTGAGAAGTGGGGAAATATTGGAATTTAGTCCAGTAGAGTCACCATCTCAACCCTGTGTCCCTTCCGAAAGGAAACAGAGCTATTATCAAAGCTTCCAGTCATTCAAGTAATCCAAATTTCCTTCCCTTTACCATGGATTAGGAAGCAGAGATCCCAAGAGTAACACAGAGCACGGCAGGAAAGCACCCGCGTCTACACTGCGCACACCCAGCACCGCCTCTGCACATAAGATATTCGCTACATTAAGGCTCTTTCCAGGACCCTTGAACTTGGGGATCACTCGGGCTAGGCACACTGCAATAAGGGGGGATCCATCTCCATGGATTTCTAAAAAAGCAGACAAAATACGGCCTTTTAAACCAAAAGCATCTGTAACCTTAATCAGTTCAAGTACCTTAATTCTTGCACAAAATTAAGCTATGATTTCATTATCTCACTTATAAGGCACTGTGTCACACTTTTTAAAAAAAATCAAACATTTAAAAACTTGTTTTTAAAAAACTTCCTGTCCTTGAGATTAATCACCCTGTACTTAAGGTAGTCAGTGTGCAGAGAGTGAGATGGATCCGGATCTGTCCAGATTCGGAAAGCACAGCTCAGGGAGAGGTGGGGCGAGGGGGCCGGGGTCACGGCTGGAATCAGGGCTATTCTCTCCTTAGGTCCTGAAACCACTACCTCAACCGTAATTAACCTTGAACAAATTAACAAAATCCATGATTACTAAAATCTGTTCACTTTGCATAAGGCATTTCTACCAGAGGCAATGGAGCGGCGGCCCTTCCGGCCACCTCCCCGCCTGTCGGTCCAGAGCCGGGCTGGACGCCTGCGCTCTACTTGAGCAGGTTCTGCAGCATGGCTGTGGCGTAGGTGGGCCGGGCCTGCCTGCTCTCGATGGCGCTCTGAAGGTACTGTATGCCTCCACAGCGCTCCCAGATCTCCTCAAACTGTCTGGGCAAGATCTCAGCACCACGCTTCCGAGTGAGCCCCGTCTCCTCGAGATTCAACTCACACATCTCCATGTCATCCTTGCCTGCAGACGGGAGACGTTGACAAAATTACCATCTCTTTGCACAGAGTTTTTTTTTTTTTTTTTTTTTTTTTTTTTTTTTTTTTTTTTTTTTTTTGAGTGTTATTCCTGGAACAGCCCAGAAGCCTCACAGATTGGAGAACCTGTAACTCTCCAAGATGGAGATCTGCTTAAGTTCTCCAGAAATCACTTATGCTTGCCCCCACTAAGGACTCTCAAAATTTGCAAGCCCCACCACTGATTAAAGAAATCATTAGAGTTAACATGAATTCTGTGTGCCCTCAAAAACAGTACCAAAAAACAAACAAAAAAAGAAAAACACAGAGAGAGAGACAGAATTAAGCACCAGTGACAAGTTTCTTATGACAGATTTTTATGTTCTCTAAACAGACATAAAAACCATTTTGCTTTGGAAATCAGTAAATCTTCCATTAACTGGAAATGAGACTGAATTGCAAAGCTCTGTCATTCGATTCTGAAACGCAGTGACTGACTTATTACATTATATATTAGACTATTTCACCTAAGGCTTCACAATCCATTTTTGTATGATTATTTTTTTTCCTGTAAATTATACACACCAGCTACAAGAAGGATGGGTGGCTTGTCAGGGTGCAGCTCCATCTGCCGAGCAATCCACGGTCCGTCAAAGTGGGCGTACCACCAGCCCTTTTTCTTGCTCTGAGGGTCTTTGTACTGGTCAGCGGGGCGGATGAAGGGGATGCGGAAGAAACGCTGCTGTCGGTTCATCTCAATCTCCTGCTGCCTGGCAGGGAGCTGAGCCGCCGGGTTCTGCTGAGCTATTACACAGAACAGGCAACGTTACACTGGCCGCCCACGGGAAAAGAAAACAGACATCGTTCCTAAAATACACCGGGGATTTTAAGGGGGGGGGGGGGGGGGGGGACAGAGGCTCCCACTAGTGAATTTGAAATGTCAGTATTAGCTGCCTGTTAATGAATCCCACTCAGAGTGGGATTTCTTAGAAATGTCTTTGCCGAAAGATGTTTCTTGGCACTGAGCATATGCACACTAAAATACTGTTCACATACACACTGCACAGACACAGTCAATTATTGTGCACTTATACACACACGGCATATATATACATGTGTACGTATGTACATATACACAGCCAGGCATGAGCACATGCACAGTACACACACACCCAAGTATTGTACCATACATGGTTCTCTCTCCCTCTCTCGGGCATTGTGCATACGCACAGTACACACACACACACACACACACACACACACACACACACACATTCAAGCATTGTGCACATACATGGTAAACACATTTAGGCATTATGAACACATGTACACACTCAAGAATTGTGCACACACAAAAACACACACAGGGGTGCCACACCGCCACCACAACCACCACCACCACCACCACCACCACCACCACCACCACAACCACCGCCAGCAACAGAACCTTTGCCAATTCCCACAAATGACGTATCAGTAACCCCAAATCAATTCACATAGCAGGCAAACAGTCTCGTGTTATTTTTCCTACAAGGATTTCAAGTAAAAGTTTAAGAATAACTTATATTTGACTACTTACTTAAAACTGGGTAATTTTAAAATCAGAGAGGTCTGTTTGTTTAATTATATTTTCCATAAAAAAGAGAAATCCATGCAAAAATTTTCTTTTATCAACTTTGGGTTTTTTTTTTTTAAGGCAATAACAGCATTTGGAGAAATATGGACCTTCCAAAACCCTACTCAAAACAGTCAGTATGACCCTTTCCTCAAAAATACTTACTTTGAGATGAGATTTCTCTTGGCAGAAAACCCACTGAAAGAAGTGACAACAGATATATGGGTTTCCTAGCCAACACAAAGAAAAAAAATCCTTTTCTGCTAGTTCTAACCCTTGCCCAATTCAGTACTGAATGGCTGGGCTTTTATTTTATGTGCAAATGTAAACACATCCCTACAGCAATGGCTTTATATGCTGAACAGCGTAATTCTGTCGAGGCTGTTTATACGCTTTATATTCTTAGCTTTGAAAGTAGAACAACAATTTACTGCCATTCCAAGAACCTCGATATGAAAATCAAAGAGCATCAATGAAAGAGTATACAATACATCTAACCACGTATGACTGTGTGTCTTTCCTAAAAACTTGTAAAAACAGCAAAAGGATGAAAATACTCCTGCTCTAGATTTTTAGCCCAAGAAACAGCAAGAGCTTACGGAAAATGAGATTTATTTATTTGCAAGTCAGAGGAAGCAGAAAAGCACTTAAGGAAGCCACACATGCCTACGAAAGAATGAGAGGCCAGTTTTGCTAGTGACATGAGTGAGAAGCCAGTTTGGTTAGTGACATTAGGACCTGCATGGCCTTTAGCATAGAGATAGAGATGGGCTTGTTCTCTTGCTCCTGTTCTCTCAGTTATACATGGCAGCTCAGTAATCACAGAGTGAGACTCTTCCTCAAATGACTGACTGACTGAATAATTGATAAATAAATAAATGTAAATGGATAGATAAATACTTTTAAAACACCAACCCTTCTAGATGGTGAACTAGTGATTGGAAATGTACTAGGGCACTGACAGTCTTTATTCATTACCTTATTTTGTAAACTGTCTGCCTCCTAAAGTCAACACACTGAATAAAATTAAGAAACTAAACTTTGTGATAGCCTTTTCTAGTAATAAGAGAACTTGTATTTTGTTGAAAAGAGCTAAGATCTTCAGCTAAGTTAAATGCCTGGTGAAGCATTAAAATATTGAACATAATTTTCTCAACAACCTGCTTTCATCCAATCATGCACCCTTTATAAGTCAGAGATGGAGAAGCAAACTCCAGTACTTGGAAAGCTGAGGCCAGAAGCCTGAGACTTGGAAACCAGTCTGGGATAGCTACACAGTGAGGGTGATGCCTCAAACAACAAACCAAAAATGTAAATTATAAGAAATACTTGGAAAAATCAGGCCCAATCAGCTGGCACATGAATATCACTGTTCAACTGAGTCTAGGAACTTAAAATAGTTAAAGGTGACCCAAAGTTTCTAAGGCATGGAAGGAATGAGCACCACAGGAAGTAATCTCCCCCTTCCTGCTGGTAAGTGCCATTATTAGGTTTGTGCCTATTACTACATAGAACTCAAATCCCCTTGGACAGAAACACAGGCACCATCGCAACGCAGCATCTGAAACCAGCACCTAAGAGTTAGCGTTTCTTCTAGAAGTGAAGACAGCATTTTGCTACAGTAAGAGGTATATAAACCCAGTTTTAAATGCACAAAAATTTGACAGATGATACTATCATGTATTCAATCTTTGTTCAGTATACATGTTTTGATCTGAGAAAATGTATCATATCTCAAGTATCTTAATGCAGACAGCCATCTTTAAGGTTCTACAATTCCACTTACTAGGTAGCAAAACAGTGTTTGACAGAAAGTTAGTACTCTATTAAGTATTTTAACCCCTCTTCCAGTTAGCGCATGAGTTACCACCCATTGACTTACGTGAATTGTTCAAAAATGGTGTAAAATCTGCGAACAAATATTGTATGTTGAAGAAAAGGTAAAAATGCCAAAGCTGTTTAAATGAGCACTTTCCTAACTTGTAAACACATCCCATCAATTGAGGTGGTGACCGCGTGCAAGCATCCATCTAGAGCAAAGGACTCCAAGAGACTCCAAGAGCTGTCTACAGTACATGCTTCTCTGATTCAAAACAATGTTTAGAAATCACAGAAGGAAGGAAGGAGGGAGGGAGGGAGGGAGGGAGGGAAGGAAGGAAGGAAGGAAGGAAGGAAGGAAGGAAGGAAGGAAGGAAGGAAGGAAGGAGAAAGGAAGGAAGGAAGGAAGGAAGGAAAGGAAAGGAAAGGAAAGAAAAGAAAAGAAAAGAAAAGAAAAGAAAAGAAAAGAAAAGAAAAGAAAGGGAGAGAAGCTACTTTGATTAATTATGTTTCAGGAAAATCTGTTTGAGGCACAGGTGAAGAGTACAAAATTTAAAACTTATACTTCATTTATAATTTTGGGACATAAAACCTAACTAATGATAATAAACACCAGTGCTTTCTACAGTCAATATGTGCAAATTTCTTCAATCTTAAACTTGTGCCATTTTTACTTTAGGTATTTAAATTCAATGATTTCCAAAACCATGGTTTGAAGCAATTACAACCAACCAGTGGGTGATTTACCCCTGGCCAAAATTATTTATGAAAATCTCATTATGTGATAACTGAGGTGAGAGCAGGCTCAGTGACACAGGCCAGGAAGGGGGACTAATGCTTCTTATTCATCGCTACAGAAGTTTACCATAGTTTATCAATGTATTTCTCTTGTACTCAGTGACACCAGGTTTTCTTTTTGTGGATCATAAAGTGTCCTCATTTCATGCTTTCAAATGAATCTCAACACTTCTAAATATAACAACCACACAGCACAGAATTCTCCCGAATGCCTGTTACCTCCTTTCAACCAGATTCCTATGTAAGAAATATATATATAAAATATATATATAAATTCAGTTTATATATATATATATATTATATATAAAAAAATTCACAGAGAAAAGCATGATAAAAGCAGAAGTAGATTTTTATCCTGAAAATGGCTCAAAATCAAATTATGAAGGTTAATAAATTGATTAAATTTGCAGAAAATTCCTAAGTTTGTTTTTACTTTTGGATAGGACTCTTAAAATTTTTTCTTTGACCTAATACTGTACTTACAGCAGCAAGAGGTGGCAAAGTTAAAACTTTACTGTGTGATTTAAAACTTCATGAAGTACTGTAAACCCCTTCATTTGTGGTGTACTTACTCAGGTGTGTGAACCATCAAGGTAAAGGTAGTTTTCCTTTACAATTGTACAAGAAAAGCCAACTTGCTTTTCTTTGTGTGTGTTTTTTTTTATTGTTTCTTGTATATACAAAACAAAGATGGTTTGTGGCAAAAACTTAATCCAAAAAGAATGAACAGGTCATAGAGTCTCACTGTCATTTTCAATATGCACAGAAAAAAGTGTTCACTGGGGCTCCCACCTTTCAAAACCTACCACCTCTCGGCTAGGGTTGACCCCCCCATTGCCCTCATCCTATTATATTCTGCCTTAAACCAGCCCAGAACAATCACCAGTGCTGTCTTCCTTATTAGCAATACCGACCTCAGTTCGACTCTTTGCAACAACTGGGAAACACTGGGGTCCTACCATTTAACTGAATTTAGTCAAACACTGCTTTCATTTCCTTGGAAAACAGTGAGAATTTAAACTGCATCCCACAAGTCAAACTTGATGCTTTGGGAAGCCACATGGGCAAGGGTTGAGAGCATATGGCACCTGCTGCCACATTGATGCTAATCTGGATTAAGAAAATTTATGATGGGATAAAAGCATCAAGGTAACCAATGAAACTCCAGTTAGTGCTTTAAATTTTAAAAATCTGGAGCTGAAGAAATGTCTTAGTGGTTAAGAGCACTGGCTGTTCTTTCAACAGACCAAGGTTCAACGCCCAGCCCACACAGAGCAGCTAACAACCATCTGTAACTCCAGTTCCAGGGCATCCAATGCCTTCTTCTGGCCTGCACACATGTGGTGCAGAGATACATTCAGGAAAAACACCCATACACAAGTTAAAGATAATACTTTTCCAAAAACTGAAAATCCAGCTCAGACTACAGGTCATCTGGGCCAGTGTGACAGTCTGCCCTGCCCTACTCTCTGGTTCAAGTGGTTTCTGCATTTAGGCAAAGCTCATGGTATTATAAAGTAATATTTGCAGTAAACCTTTTTAAAAGAGGACAATCAGCATGGTAATGGAGAACACAAGAACTAATTCCTTTCCTTTTCTAGACTATGATCCCATTCTAGAAAGAACCAGAAGGAATGTATGCCTCCATATTAAAAATACAAGTATATTTGGTTATTTGGGGAATTACTCTAAAACCTGAGCGAGATTAAATGTGAAAATAAGGAAAGTTTTAGAAAATAAGATCTTGATTAGCAATATAAAAATACTTATTTTCATATGTAAGCTCATGAGCATCCAGAGTGAACTAATCATAGTAGCCTTCACCTTTTCACGTGTAACCTGTTTTGTTTGTGTTTGGACTTTTTGTGATGCCAAGAACAACACATGCCAGGCAAGCACTGGACCCAACATATCCCCAGCCCTCCTCGTATATACTGGTGTGTGTGTGTGTGTGTGTGTGTGTGTGTGTGTGTGTGTGTGTGTG